TAAATATTTTTTTATATATATTTATATACGAACTTATTGGAATAAAAGTATTATAAAAAAATTATTAAAGAATTATTATAAATATATATATATATTTATATACAAAAGACTGTAAAATAATATAGGTTTACAAAGGAAAACTGTTTATAAATGTACGTTTTATATTTCTACTCAAAAAGTTATAAGTATACATTATACAGAAGTTATTATCACATAGACACGAATGTATATGTGTTTAAAATACTATATATATGCCAAATGATATACATAGAAGTAATGTAGGTAATAATGAACTGTAAAAAAAAGTTGTAATGTATTTTTTTTGAAAGAGTTGTAATGTCACACGTCTTTTTTAAGTAATGTTTCTGTTACACAAATATTTTTAATGATTTTAGTAGTAATATTTTGCTGGTACTATATTTTTTTCTATTGACAAATACTAAAGATTTTAGTACTGTACTACTTCACCTAAACTTAAACATAAATGATGTTAAGACGTGTATGTAATCATACTAATTGTTGGTAGACTTCCACTAAGACTTTACTGAAGTCGATTGCGATCCAAACAAGACGAGAAGTTTTTGAATATACGCAAGCATGTATTGAATATGATATACCAATACCGAAAAATTTATTTTCCGACACTATAACGTTTAGTAAAATATGGACAAAGAAAGGTAAAGAAAATCGGTATTTACACCTTAAAATTACGTCTTTGCTTATATACTTGCAAAAGAATATTATATCATTTGAATAATACATCTTAAAACTGTAAAAACAATAAGAATATACACTATAATAATCGCGAATATGTCACCGAAGTATTAAGTACAGTCATCCAGTTATTATTGTATGCATGTAACAACAGTCCTAACCATATTTTTTTAATTATAAGTTACTTATACCTTTTACTTTATTGGATATATGTTGTAGCATTCAATATATTTTATATGATTAATACTTTAATACATAACAAAAATGTTCTATACAACTCCATTTTTGAGGAAGCGATGAAATTATATTCTACCAAGTGAGTAATTGATATTACAGTATTTGAAACATGTTTAATACAGCGTAAGCTGCTTTATAAGTCAAGTGTAAAAATATTACATATCTTTGTATAAAAGATAAAATTAACACCAATATGTTTTTTTGTTATGCAATTTGTTGTTACATTCTAGGAATACGTTCAGCGATACATATAATGAACAGTCTATTTTTGATAATTTATGGAACAGTTTAGTTGTTGTGCCGGCCGTTACTAAAAATATTCGTTTAAAGAATATAAATATAAAAACTGTGATAAATTCTTGGATAACACAAGATGGTTATCCTGTGGTACAAGTAACACGAGACAATGACACACGGTCTTTGACAATAAAGGTTATAGACTGTGTAACAATCAATCAAAAAGAACTGTGTGAACACAAGTGGTGGATACCTGTAACTTTTATAGAAATATCAAAAAATGAGTCTATTATACATCATTTGTGTCTAACGCCAAACGTACCAAGTATCTATATTTTGAAATTTGTAGAAGACGATGTTATCATACTCACAGAGCCAAATGGTATTACAGTAGAAAGAATTTATGATTGTAGTGTCTTATATATTTATTGTACAGTCAAATCTCGATAACTCAAACTTCTATAACTCGAAAATCCGTATAAATGGAAATTTGTGTTTATTTCTCTTCGCTTTGCAAAAAGAAAAAGAGACATTCGATAAGTCAAAATCTCTACAACGCGAAGATTTGAGCTCTTGCCTTGAGATTTAAATTATCGAAATTCGAATGTATTACATTAACTATTTTTAACATCGTAATACATTTACTCTTTTTCTTTATTATCTTTTTTTTTCCTTTTACGCTTTCTGTTTTTTCAAGTTTGTAGTTTTGTGTGTATTGATTTTATACATTTATTCGTTGTAGGATATCGCGTCAACTACGATTATAAATCTTGGAAAAATATTGCTTCTTTCCTGAAAAATCCAAAATCTATATATTGGAATGTATCTGAGTTATCTGACTCTACTTTAGCCCAACTTCTCGACGATGCGTTTTATTTTTTAATACAAAATACAAANTACAACGAACAACCAGTTGCAGAAGATAGTAATATAAACATGTTTTTAGAATTNGCAAGCAATGCAATAAACGTAGAAAATTCGTATATAACGTGGTATCCTATATTCACTGCTCTTCAATACGTATCAAAGATATTTCCGTTTTCAGATAGCACAAAGATCAAGGTAAATATTACTATAGTGCAGTAATAAAAAACTACTTCGAAAAAAANTCTTAAAAAGAAAGTAAATAAAAGAAACTCAGTGAACTACTGTTACAATATTCAGATTTTACGTTATGTTTTTTTACGTTTTTTTTCATCAATTGACAACAGGAAAAACATTATACATTAGTGTATACAGGGTGATTCAGAACAACCCTTTATCTTTGAGAATACATATTTTTGACTAAATTTCAAAACAACTTTTTATTTGACAAAAGTTTGTTTGAAGCTTACTCTTTGAGTTCTTCATAAAAATAAGTAATTTATTACGAGTCGGATACAAGAGATAGGCAGGGTCGGCGCACCTCACCGTGATTGACAGTGATTCATGTGATGCACGGATTACGTGATACAAAGTACACTTGAATAAATAAAGAAGTGAAAAAAAAGAGAGAGAGACAGAAACACATACAGAAACAGTGTGTAGCGATCAGCTGATCGCGTCAAAATCCATACGTAATCGCTTGCGAGTGACGGTGAGTACGCCACTTCTGTTTGCCTCTTGTATTCGACTCGGAGTTAGTCACCTATTTTTATTAATACCTCAAAAAATAAACATGTGGAAAAAGTAAGCTTCAAACAAAATTGTGTCACAGAAAAAGGGCTTTCAGAATTTAGTCAAGAAGATGTATTTTCAAGAAAAAAGAATTGTTCTGAATCGCTCTGTATATGATTTTGTCCAAAGCAAAAATAGAACAATTATGCCGTTAGAAATGTGCATATTTTAAGAATATTGAAATATGCAACAAAGTACAATAAATAATTACTATACAATGAGTTTTACATATAAAACATTTGAGTATATTTACAAGTTACAGAGTAAATAAAATCTTTGATTACTTTTTACACTTTGTTTTATAGGATAAAATATTACCACTATTAAATAGGTTTCTTGAAAATATATCATACAAAGATTCCAAGAATAGTGTTGATAATCAAATATATCACGAAGTTCTAAAATGGACATGTATTCTTGATGGTGTACAGTGCAAAGAACATCTCACTGATATATTGAACTGGCATTTCAAAAATCCTGTACAAAACAAGTACGTTTATTTATTTCTTTAATAGCAAAGTGAGTTTTCTAACACTACTGATTATACATAATATTATGTAACTGTAACCTGAGTCTTGATACAAACTTATGATATTGTAATAACACAACAAGTTCGCGACTGAATTATTCTGTAAATATAAATACTTTTATTTCTATAAAATATATAAATGTGTAAAGTACAAGCACGAATAATTGGGTATCAATTTGTTTAAATATATCGTCAATAACTCCTTGTTTCTATGCTTTTAAAAACCGTAATACCAAATGTGACATTAATGTTCAAACATTATTTCGATATCATAAGAAAAGTATATAAAACCGTTCGAGTAATAATGTGTGAGTAAAATTGTATATTTTTGTGTAAATATTTGCAGATTGTTGCCAAGTTGGCAGAAATGGATATATTGCCAAGGTGTAATAAAAGAAATACTGATGCATGTGAAGTGGAAAATAATACAGGACATGTACATGTTACAAGAGAAAAAAGACCAATACGTGCAAGGTTTATTTTGTCGTAACCTGCATTATACTATAGAAACTTTGCGATCTGAACTTGAATATGATTCAATACAAGAAAGTGATGCTGTTACCATTCTTTTCGATACTGTTGCAAGACATGCAAAGGATTTTTTTTCATTGAACACTATACTAAGCAAAATACAAAATAGATTTCCAAGGTAAACACATTTTTTTATAAAAACATGTTTATTTAGGTTACTACTGTCTAATATATTGTATGTGTATGTACTCTACATGATACTTATATTTTTACGTAGACTATATTAATATATGTATTATTTATATATGTAATTTATTCATTTTATAGAAATTGTTTTTATATATTGTATGTACTAAGTCAGATTTTGTGTCAATTATTTGTTTTATGTGTTTCATTCAAAAGAAAGATGAGTCTCCTTGCAGTTGTGAATTTTAGTATTAATCACGTATATTTAGATGATGATCTTGAAAAGGTATGTTGTGTGTACTTAAATAAGATTTCATTTAATAATGTTTTGTTCAATATATCTCGATAAATAAAAAATATATCTCTTTTCTGGACACTTTAGTATATGCACGCACGTATTTTAATTATATTACTAATTGATATAGTCTTAGCTTAGTATAATAAAAGAATATCATGTATGTTTTAATAATGAATGTTTTACATATTATTACATTCAGTATTATTATCACACTGTGGTTTTAGGTTAATACGGCTATAGAACTCCTTTTTATACACCTTATCAACGTATATGATGTCAAAATGGTAAAAAGTTTTTTATAAAAGATTTAAAAAAAAAAAAATTAGAAGTTTTGTAAATATTTGTTTTGTAATTGTACATTAGTTTTATATAAAACTGTTACTTTAAGTTTGACACTACGTGTTACGAAGTAGAATTTGTTTTGTGTACAGAATTATACAAATTATACACAATATATTATCGGAAATATATGTTGTAATATATGATGTAATATTTTTTAGGCAACGTTCATAAAAAACATTATTGCAAAAAAAGTTGAAACTCGCCGTACATTTGTAAGTAGGAGGCGATATTATATTCGTAATAAAGTCCACATAATACTTGATTACAAAAATATGAAAATGTAAGTGTTTTTCACTGTTTGTGTAGAATTGTTTTTATTTAACCGACAAATAATATATATATGTATGCGGTTAATACTAGAATTGGATACTGATGTATACAAAATTCAATTTTCTTTATAACATTAAATTAGTTGTAACTTATAGGTAATATCTAGTTTAAATATATTTTACGTATAGTGTATTACGGAAATATATTTCACGGATTTTACTTTATGTAATACGTTGCAATTGGTTCATAAAAGAAAAATGAATTTTGGAAACATGCAAATAATATAATTCATCGTAAATAACGAATGCTATTAAGTATATATTGAAGTATAATCAATTGCGCACAAACAACTACAAAGCAGACGATATATTAAACCAAGTATGTAAGAATATAAATCTATAATATGTACAAAAAAGTTTATATAAAAACAAAATCCATATCAAACAGTTTTATGTATGATAAAATAATGTTACTCGTAATATTTTTCTATGTATTTAAAACCGGGCAAATGATAATTTTAATATAATGTATTTAAGTAGAAGTTATTCTGTTTTTTATTTAATACGTCTGAACACAAATATGCATTGTATAATAAAAAAGAGTATTTGCAAACTAATATTTATTATATTATGACAATCCTTTAAGTTTTATCAATGTGCAATGTTTTTAAGGAAGTCTCTGTAGAAACATTTATGGAATCTAACATTTGATTCTGACTACTGTGCTGTGAATAAAATTGTGTTACAATCAAAGAAATTTTCTTATCTAGGTATCATTTTTTTGTCTATTTATCGCTTATTACTTAAAAGCATACTTATATATAATACTGCAACTTTACCGATACTGGAAACACTGCTGTCCGTCATCAGCATCATCGAAATCGTAGTCATCGAGAAAGTAAAACATATAGTAGCAATTTGATTAATATCGGCCACAGCAAAAGTAAGTATTTAAAGAAGTAAAATAAGGTTATATTACATATATGTTAAATATTAGTAAAAACAAAAGTAAGATTGTTTTTATAACTAACGTTTCACAAGACCTAAATGATTGTTATTTAAATACTTTCATTTTGTTTCATTCACACGCGCACAAACCATGAAACACTTTATTTTTATAATTTCATTAAAAAAATATTTTTGATAATAGTTGACGTTACAGCAAGATGAAAAATGTCACGTATATGAAAATACTACTTTGCTGTTTTGCACTTTGGTTTAATTTTGTAAAATACAGTATTTCTAATGTAAAAGAAACTATATGACGAAAGTTTCGCGTGTCTATCATATGTCGTTCTTACAAAGAGTTTTGGAGTCAGCGTTCGCACTCGATCGCTCAGAAAAAGCCATGATTATTTTGCGAATTCGTGCGAGACTCACGCGCCTTGGCCTAGCTCTCGATTATAAGTCAACTTCAATCAGCTGATCAATTGGCACTCAGCCGAACCACGGGTAAATATTATTTCTTGCGTATTTCTGTAAGCACGTGACCAAGTTTTATACACAGAAATGACTTTGCACGACAAACAAGCAGTTCTCCGATAACGTTTCGATAGATACTTTACAAAATCTCGTGCCGCAAGCACATTATGCTATCCGTATAACCATCTACGCGCTTCGATAGCACGCAATTTTTTTCTGTAATCTGTGAATAGCGCAAATGCGTTTACATTGAACAATAACAAGTTATGTACGTATTGCATATTGATCTTACAAAATTTGTTGAGAAAGAGTAATCTCTCTCACAGTATATACATATCCTTAATATACACATTATACTTAAATAAATTTATAATAATTTAATGTATTAATCATTTGCCGTAGTTTTAATAACTTGCTTTACTGTTTAAATTTTTTTATTAGAAGATCTCATAAAGATTGCGCGTTTACTAACCTCACATTATATTATAATAGCTAATAAGATTCACATAAATATTTGAATAAATTTAAAAAGTGTTGGTACATGTATGTTAAATTTTTATTGAAGTCGATTGTGATTCTTACACAACAGGAAAACAAGGAAAATCTTACTAATTGTGACGGCGTTTTGATATTTAGTGCTATTTTCCAGATAGTCCTAAAAAGCTATACTTTATTTTACATGTGGTATAAATTTTTAGAACTGGCAGTGAATATCAGAACGCTGCCTACAGAAGCATTTCATACATAGTACATTTTTTTCAAAAGAATTTATTGATACATCAAAACTCACTTGTTATCAAACTGTGGCAAGAAATAAATAAAAACACTCAATTTACTGAGTAATCAGTTAACTTGTCTTGTTCAAAAATCGTGACAAAATAACGTGAAACTCGATATTGATCATCTTATCAATGTACAATAGTGTCCATAAATATGCTATCGAGCTTTATTTACATCAGTAGTAAAAGGAAAACGAGAAATAATTTTTTATTTACTATATTTATCTTTAAAAAATAGTTGCAACAGTTTCTATAAACATAAGCCGCACAAGTGTGACGAAAAACAGTAAATGCATTTGCCACATACTAATGATACCACTTTTGTTTTGATACAATATCCGGATCGACAATGTCGTAAAACATACTACTTGCAGAAAGTTTTCTGGAAAAAACCACGCTCGCGTCAAGCGTGACTTTACGCAAGTTCTGGCATATCTCTGCGTAAGACAAGAAGTACAAAATCTATACGTAATAGTTACCAAAAATATATTTTTCAATACATATTTTTTAATAAATATTTTAACGTTAAGCGCGGAGCCGAGTTTGCTGTGTTTTCCGTTCAGGCGGCATGACGACGCGGCGGCGACAATTCGCTGAGTATTCGGTTACAAAGTATGAAAATGGCAGAAAGTTCCCTGGCAGTTCCCAGAGACTGACGCTGCCTAACCGAAAAATTCACTGTCAGTCCTCAGAAAGTGATGCTGCGCTTAACGTGTTTCGAGTGTATTTATATTTCTTTCGCCTTTATAACTAATTTTTTGCGCAACAAATCTTTTACATATTCCCGAACGCAACATTGGCACATTAAAAAATAAGGATTTTGTTTGATTTTTGGTATATTATTTCACCTGTATCTTTTCAGAAAAACATATATGTATTGAACTGTCTTCTGATGAAAACAGTATGTATATGAATGTCTATTGAACACTGAAAGTATTTTGAGACTCATATTTCTATACATATGTATACGTACTATAACTTAAGTAAGGTCGTTTCCCCCAATAGAGACGTTTACATCGTGATATGTATTTATTATTTCACAAAAACGACTGTTTTGTAGTTATCGAGGATCTCTCGAACAGACAGGATCGCGGATATTTTCAGGCAATTCGTTTTTGACTTATATAGCGATAATACGTATAAAGTAGTGCTCAAGATTTATATTTTAGTAGATAATTATTATGTGAAACATGGTAAGTTATGAGAAACTCGTATAGTATTTGTAGAACACAATTTTTGTTTTTAAATATAACTTCTGTTTTTCATTATACACTAAATCAATATGGAAATCGTTTTTTCTACTTTATAATTTAAAAATTCATATATCTACTTTAATTTATCAATATTGTGCAAATCTTACTACTCGTTAATGCTACATAGATTAATATTACATAAATATTATTACGATCTACAATTGTAATTGTACATTGACTTAATAATTGCAATGTGTGACATATTAAATAATTAAAACGCGCTCGAAAAATGGAGAAAAATTTTTCGAGTATAATTTTGTTCCTTAAAATATCTACTATCTTGTTAAAAATGTTCACCACAATTTCTACCTTTTAATCTTCAATTTTCTTTTTACATGTCAAGTTCATAAAAACACCGTATTCATGACACCTAATATGTGAAAATATGTCTATCCGTACGTGAGAAATATAAAACAACATTGCTACCTAGTGATAAACATACTCTATAACAATCATAACATCTGTTCTTCATATTTATATACTGTCGAACCTCCCAAAACGTATACTCTCAAAATGTATACAAATCCACTCTCAAAATTTAAACTTTTTCCTTCATCGGTTTTTCCACCACTAAGTATGATTACAACCTAACCTAACCGAAACTGCGCTAGCGCGAGATAACTTTATATCAAGTAAGTCTTTGCATATGCAAGAGGTAAAGAGTGAGGAAATATGGGAAGTATACGTTTTATGGGAGACTTGTTGCGACTGTGTATACGTTAAGAGAAATTCGACTGTATATCTGAAAAAGCAAACATTTATTCTGTACATATTAAATGTGTGTTGCGTTTTTATTTGCGTATGTAATGTTTGTTTAATAAACAAATACATTTTACAGATTCAAAGTACGCATATGCTTATATTCTTTGGAATTACATGCTTTTTATTTCTAACCGGAATTGCTTCTTCAACTGATGCGAAGTTACCTCAAGTACCGCAGTGTTACCACCCGATAGAATATCGTATAAATATTTCTGCAAACATACAAAACAATTCTCTCCATGTTGATTCTTGTGTCAAACTGAACGTTTCATGTGTACTGCAAGATATACGATTATATTTCGGACGTTACCTGAATGATTTCTACTATGGTACCGTCGATAATATCTTTACTGATACTTCAGTGGAATGGGTACTACATGTGCTATTTTCTGAAACAAGTGATTCATTCGGTGACATGATTCGTATAACAAAATATCAAAACAACTCTAAAACAACTGTACGGAAAAGAAGTATACTACCTGGAATATACTGGATCAATGTAAAGTATAATTGGATTTTAGACAAAAGTGCAATGATTTTTGAAAAAAAAACAAAAGACAAGTAAGTACACGATACTGCAGTAAGTATGTTTTTTGTTTTATAAGAAAATAATACCTATAAAACGTTATTACTTAAATACCAATGTAGTTATACAATCTACGTTTTTTCATTATGTAGATATTTGATTTTGCCGCGTATACCCGCTGACTGGATATTTCCGTATTGGACAAATCCCACAACCAAGGCTAAATTTACAATTCAAATTAGACATGATCACGATCAAACAGTTCTATCACATATGCCTTTTGATTACATAGTGCAAAACAATCAACTTTATTCTTTATTTCGTATGACACCTAAAATATCCACTCATTTGGTAGCAACAGCAATCGTACCTTCGGAGTGTACTAAACATGTCCATGTGTTAAATACATGTACTATACAAAGCAGATTCCAAGTGAAAAACGACATTTTGTACGCAGTATTTCTTATAAACAATATTGTAACATTCATTAGAAACAAGATAGAAAATAGCACATCAGTTTCATACGTGCAGTATGTAGTACTTCCAATAAACTCCAACAATTACGAAACTATAGTAACTACTGCACTTGTACTCTTCAGGTAAAATTAACTTAAAACAATCGAACATATAATAGAAACGACAAAATTGTTGTAACAACAATATTACTTTTAGAGAGGCTAGTATTGCATACAATAGAAAGGTAAATTCGATTATAAAAAAAAAAGAAGTAGCACTTTTGGTTGTGCGCAGTGTGATGCAAGAAATGTTCAGTGAATGGTTACTTACATTAAAAACCTCTAATTCTTGGTTTATAGAAGGGTTTTTGTCATTTTACGGAGTTTATTTAAACGATCAGGTAAGTCTTGCATTTGAAATTTCTTTCATACATATACTTTGATAGTAAAATATATATAGAATAATAAGACATTCTAGCATTGTAAAAATAAGAAGTTTTATGTAACGTATAATAGTTGCTAATAATAAATAATTTTATGAATATATATATTAATATACAAAATACTGTAAAATAATTTAAGGTTACAAACTAAAACTATTTATAAGAATACGTTTTATATTTCTACTTAGAAAAACAATTAGTATACATTATACAAAAGTTACTATTGCATATACACAAATGTATGTGTGTGTAAAATACTATATATATGCAAACTAATATACATAAATCTAATGTATTACATAGTAAATGAAAACAAAGAATTGTGTTTTATGTTTTTAAGAGAGTTGTAATGTCACATTTCAATTTTCGTTATTGTTTCTGTTATACAAAATTTTTAATAATGTTAGTGATGATAAGTTGTTATTATA